GCTAGGATTACAGGCGTGAGCCACCGCGCCCGGCCTTACTTTTCCATTCTTGAGATACTTCACTTAGGCTGCACTATTCCTAATATGTGTCATACCTATCTGTTCTTTCGCTTGAGACTGATTCTTCAGGATGGGTATTTTTCTTGGATAAAAGAGAATGAGCTATCTCAACCTCTGTATTTTAGGTAACTAGAATTGCCTCAGTCAGAAATAGCTAAAATTATAATTATGTTCAATTATCGTTTAGGTTTGTTATTTTACATTCTGTGGCTCTCCATTTATGTAGTTTCCCTGTTTTCTCTCTTCCTTCTAGGCTTTTCTGTTTCTTTTGTTAATATATGCTCTTTTGTTTCTGATAAATTCTATGGAGTGAAAACATATCACAAAATATCCTATGATTAAGATTCAACAAGACATAATGGAGAACCACAATTGACTAGTTTTGTAGAGTTTTATTCAGGAGTTAATTCACTTACTCATTCACAGAATTATTATGATATGAATTTGAAAACTTGAAGGAACCCTAGAGATTATTTAAGCCATAAATTTAAGCCATAAATTATTTAAAGTAATTAGTGATACATACATAGAGTAGACAACTCTACTCTCTATAGCAGGGGTCAGCAAACTCTTCTCCAAAGAGCCAGATGGTAAATAATTTAGATTTTAGGGGCCATATGGTCTTTGTCACGTCTACTCAAATCTGCCATTGTAGTGTGATAACAGCAATAGATAACAAGTAAATGAACAAGTGTGACTGTGTCACAATAAAAATTTATCTACAAAAACAGGTGGTGGGTCTGCTGACTGTAGTTTGCCAACACTAGCTCTATGAAACAATGTTTTTAAATTATAGATTTTTTATAACATTCATTACTGAATTTTAATGAAAAAATTGGGCTATAATTCAAATATTGACTAGTAGGGCCAGTCAATCCGCAATTAGATCCATATTTGGCATCAGGTATAGGGACTGACAAAATGAAATAAAACTGACTTACCTCTATAACTTTTCTTTCATGCAGCAATGAGATTAAAATTATGGCAGTGAAAACACATGAAATAAATCTATTTATCTATATGCTATGATTATCCATCCGTCCATCCAGGTATGATATAATTACTTAATAGGGGGAATATAAATAAAATTTATGTATTAACACCTGTTTTGCACGTAAAAATCTGTGATCAATTGGTATGATAAAAGTTGACATGATATGATACAAACAAATGATAGATTCTGAAAAATGTATGGTTTACAAGTCAGGCACATTAAAACCTACTACCTTATTTACAGATGGTGATTATAAAAAACTAAAACAAAAACTCCCCAAACCCCTTACTACCCTTCTGTATCTGTAGTTTGTAAGTAAAGTCTTACCCTAATTATCCTAATTTTATAATTTTATCAATTTTTAGTCATATCGAACAATTCTAAAAGTGCCATTTCCTTACCTTGCAGTCATCTGAAAGTACTTTAGGTTCAAGTAGAGTGTTTTCTTCAAAAAACTGGCCATTCCATCCCTTGAAACCAATAGGTGAGCCTGGGCCACTTGTTTGTGCTCTTGACCACTTTGGGGTGTTTAGACAGTGAATGGTGATGATATGGGTGGCTTCTGAGCTCAGTAAATGAAGGAAATTCATCTGGACTTTCCCAACTCCGAACTCCAACTAATGACATAGAAACAACATGCAAGTTATGAGATATGGCAATTGAGAAACTTACAGTTTGGGAAACTTGAGGGAAGTTCTTGAAAGGCAGCCAAAAGCTACTTTTCTTGGAATCTATATGTCAGTTAGTGGTGCTGGTAAATGTTTAACCACTGGCTCTTGGGGAGGAAAAATCTCTGATTTATAGTATTTTCTGATTCCCATGGTAGAAATAGTCCCACCATTGCTGATTTCAGGCTACCAAGGTGATGTTTCTGAACATGGCATTGGGAAGAGATGTTAATAGTAAGCTCTCCTGAGCCTGTAATGAACTGGCTGCAGCATACCATTAGACTGCTATATATAGTAAGAAAAGGAAGATAATTTTCATGTTACCTAAAATGCAGTAATAATTTGTTTTTGGTTAATGCTTTATTAATTTTTTTCATAACAATCTCAAGTTCTGCCTATGCTTTCATTTGAGATTTTTTTGTGAGAGTTTCCAAACATAAGTTACAAGTTGTAATAATAATTTGGTTGAGTAATTTTAACTATGAGAGTTTGAAAGGATAAGGACAGAATCTTATTCTGTGTGTTGCCAGCCCCTAATACAGTTTCAGTCACACAGTGAGTCATCAATAAATGTGTATTGAACAAATGAATGAATGCATGAACAAGTATTAACTAATAGAGTGAACAATATAGGGAAACTTGGAGTTAAGAAGTCTGATTGCACATTTTCCAGGCTTGGACAGGGAAGTAGATTTTCCTATATCTCTAGACAGTATTATTATTATTATTATTGTCATTTTTGGCATTATCCAAGTAGAGGGTATGGTCATAATGTAAGTGAATAGAAGTAGTTCCTACTGAAGAATTTATAATAATCTCCAAATATAAAATTAGAAAAATACCAGTTATGAGGTAATGAAGAAGGAAAAAAATAACAATAAAAAGAAAAAAGAAAAAGCAAACAACAACGAAAAGAGAGGAAAGGCAAAAGGATAAAAGCATGGAAGGATAATCATAAGGAACATTAGAGTTTAATAGTAATAATTCAATTCCTTCATTTTACAGATCACTCACAAACTTGTGAAATATTTAACCTTTCTGAGCCTTAGTTTCCTTGCCAGGAAAGTAGGGGTTTAACACTGACCTGACAGAGTTGTTAAGAGGCTTGGAAAGGACAAATGTCCTTTACCTAGCATTGCGCCTGGCACAGAGTAGGTCCTGTGGTGGCTTGCAATTTCATTCCCCAGGTTAGGAGAGGAGTAGAAACTAGAACCCAGGTCCCTGACTGCAAGTCTACTGTTCTTTCTTTCCACTCCCTCCCTGGTCTACGTGAGGTTGGGTTTACGAATAGGAGAAATGGGAGCACTGACTCAGTCATGGAGAGAACCACAGGGCAGCTCCCTCGCTGCTCCTGTCTCCTTCGCACAGCTCCCCCACTCCCAACCTCCTTCTTTCTGTGATCATCCTGGGCCAACTTCCAGGGGAGTGAAGATGACCACGTGGATATTTTGGAAGTCGGACTACCACGCTGCTCTTCGTTAGAGGTGCATGGGATTCCCTAGGAATGGAAGAATCTTTCCGTCCTCTGTTTCAGGGGTAATAATGGTGAATGCCGATTGGGATAAATCAATGAAACACTCAGGGTAATGACGGAAGACCTTTTGGGAGGAGAGGGCAGTTGAACATTATGCAGCTAAAGAGACCATCCATGTTAGCTGCTGCCCTTTTATGATGGACAAAACAAACAATCGGCACATGTATCAGTTCTTTGTCAATGAGATATAAATACTTGGTCATATATCAAGCTGGTTTAATCACAAAAAGAAAGAAATGCAGTTTTGGTTTTAACATGTTAAAGGTAGAATTGAGATTTAGGTTTTACAGATACTTGTTCTAACACCTAGTGTTGTGACTAACTAACTTGCATTCATTCCAAACATTTGGCTTATAGAATTATACTTGAAAGAAGTTTTAAATAGCATTCAGTAGATGTTTAAGAAAGATTATTGTGTAGCCCAACACCAAAAATAGCAAGCTTTTGTGGAAAATTTTTCTTTTAATGATGATGTAATTTTCAGCAAAACTTTAGGTAATCGATTACTAATTCTAAATACTCCACCGGTTTAGGGATTTTCTAATGTATATGCATAAAAACATAACATATGTTGCACAATTTTTAAGGGATTTTAAAGGAATTTAAAAACCCGATCAGTAGAGTAAGCCAAGCTAAGCTAATCATAAAAATACACAATCAAATTGTTAAGATTTACTGCAATTAAATATTTTTTAAAACAAAACATTTATTTCTCATATATGATAGAGAATTATACCTTGTTTTCATTCTTAAAATTCATAATTATTTAAAGTGACAGAATTTTCAAAAGCTTTGTTCATTGATATTGTGCAACATACCAACATATGTTTAAAAATTCAATACATGCCTTTGTCACAGAAACAGGAGATAAACATGTCTGGCCACCAGCACTGAAATTGCAGAAAACCTCAATGGCATCTGAAGGACACCCGAGATTTGGATCAATCCAGTATTTTCCTATTAATTTATAGTAAAACACAAAGTTATTTAAATGCCATGCTAAAATATATTTGAACCATCCTTACAAATTATGATACTTTAAATATATATCATCACAGTCTTACCTGTTAAAAAACTTAAAAGATTATAAATATATTTGCATTCAGTGAATGAACGAAAGCTGTAGGCATTATATAAAATTGATACTAAAAATGCTCTATTTTTCACATACTTATCAATTTCAGGGCATTTCATAATTTTAATCAAAATGACAGAATGGCTGAATTTATTGCTTCATTCCACAGATAAAGAAGATGAGCTCAGCAACTAAAAGTGAATTGCCCAAAGTTATATAGTTAATAGAAAAGTTGAAGTTATCAGAGTGTATGTATATATTTCTATTATTAGAGTACATGTGTATATTTCTGATCATCATTACAGAGTTTAAAATTAATATTTTGTTTTAAAATAGAAACAACTTCAATCGCTCTAAGGAAAATATCTTTATGTGTAATACTGATAAGCAAAATAAAAATCAAACATTTTCTGTTTTCAGAAAGAAAAATATACAATGAAATGATTATCATTTTTGTGTTCTTTCAGATCTGTAAGTGGGAAAGACTGAAGTGCCTACAGCTAGTGTGAGCCTGCCAATCTTTGCCTCCAGTGAATGCCCAGGAGAATAAAATGGGACCTAAAGTCCCACTATAGAAAATACTCAGACTGAAAAGCACTGAGCTAGCATCTTAATTCCAGAATAACAGACTCAGAATATTAAAAGAGCATCTTATTCCAAATACAAAGGAAAGAAATGTTGGAATGAGGCAGCCTGTTTTCTTGCATTAAAAAGGCAAGACAAACAGTTTTTGTCAAATGTCATTTTCTACAATAGGCAGAGATCCTTGTCCATTCCACCCTTACTCCACAGCAAAGATTTCTCTAGCTCTCCTGGGCTTCCTCTGACTTCCAAAACACTCTCAGATACTCTCCCCTCTTTTATTCTACTAATCCTTCAACATGCATATATGCTGAATTGGTAGCTCAAAGGGTAGGGACTGTCCTTTACTGTAGTGGTTTTCAAACTTTAATATGCACCAAGTCATCATTAAAATGCACACAGCTGGGCCCTACCCCCAGAGTCGCTGATTCATTAAGGCTTCAGAATCTGCATTTCTAACATAATCTAATTCTGGTCCAGGATCACATCTGGAGAACGACTGATCTACTGAAATATGGAAGAAAAATGTGAAGGAGATCCACTCGTCCCAGTCTCTTTTCTTCAGAATTTTGAACATTTTATAATGTTTGTAGAAATTACAGCCAGATTTTTCACCAGGATCTAATAGAGGCTTCCAGTTCTAATCTTGTGGGATAAACAAATATCTCCTTTCATCATACCTTCTCTTCCAAGAAATACTTTCCTACACCTATAGGAGCTAATAATAAATTCTTTATGAAAGGTTTTCCACCAAGCAAACTCTTGCTACATGGGGTAAAACACTTTGAATTCAGGCATTATGTTGTACAATGGTGAACTGGTAAGGGTTTCATCATTTCTTTCAAGGTAGGCTGAGCCATAGATAAAGTCCTATATCATAATATATGTTTTGTGAGCCTCAATGTTCTGACTCAAACTCGCTCTCCCCTGAGGAGGACACTGCTCCCCTTGCAGCCTGATGATGGGAAGGTGTCTTTTTTGCTCTTCGTTGCTACTTCCAGACCATTCTTGCCAATTTCTCCCTGAAAACACTCCATGTTGAAATTCTATTATCACATTATATCTACCACACATCACCCTTCCTGGTGCTGAGTGCAATCACTGATATTTTTCTTTGAAGAGTTTTAGCTTCTGGCTTGCCATCGCATTCAGAAAACCTATCAATGACCAAATTCTTGGTGATTTTAAATCCACATGGATGATTCCTCTGACCTTAGCCTCTCAGTTCCTCAAACTGTACTCTCCTCCACCCCCTTACTTTTCCACCAATGATCTCGTACCCTCCCCTTACCCCCGTATCTTACTTTACTAACATCGAAGGCCATGCCCTAGCCTTTATCACCTACAACTGCATCTCCTCCAGAATTTCACTTCTCTTCTCTTTCCAGCTCACTCCCTCTAGAATCCTGACCCCAATAATTTTTTTTTGGTCTCATCAGGACCTACTCTCCATTGATACTACCACTTTTTCATTGTCCCTTCATTCCCTTCTTACCCAGCTTAAAACTCACAGTCTTTTACTATAATCATTTCCTTAGGAACTTCCTTAATGCCCTTGCCCTACCTCACTTCATTGTATTTGTCTTATAAACCCCCAACCCTACCTAAATTCAGTTTTTTGCCTAACCTGTGATTGTACCTGCACAGATAAATGTGGCTGGAGAAAAACTTAACTATGCTGATGGTCCTCAATTTAATTTCCAATGTGTCTATAAATCTGTTAGACAATAATACCATGCTTCCATATTCAATCCCTCTGTCACTTTCCTAGTTATCTATCTTGTACCTATTCATTCTTATTCTTGACTGATAATCTTCTAATTTCACTGAGACAACTGAAACAATCTGAAGAGAACTTAAATAAGCCCCCACTATCTCATCTACCCACCTGTCTGTCTGGCACACACATATCCTGCCTTCTCTCTTATAGTAAATAAACTGTGTTCCTATGTAACACTTATCTTATTCATTATACCAACAGATTTAAATTCTACCTCTCTTATTCTCTCTTTTGAGTCTGTTTCTGTCAGTTCTCATTCACTGATTATCATAGGAAAGTATTTCTTGGAAGAGAAGATATGTGTTTACCCCAATGGATAAAAGTGGAGTCCTACATCAGATCCTGATAATTTCTACAAACTTTATAAAATGTTCAAAATTCTGAAGAAAAGCAACTAGGAAGGGTGGGTCTATTTTTGCCCCCTAGCCCCATGAGGTCACCAAAAGTACCACTCAGCTTTTTAACATACCTAGGGCAAAGTAGCTCCACGTGTTGGGTTCATCTCTCTGCTGTCTTCTTCAAAGTCTTGCTTGAAAGTTCCTCATTATTTGTCAGCTATTTTATGCTTTTAACTTTTTTTGTGTGAAAATTAATTTAGCCAGGTAATTTCAATTACCTGCTTCATTACTAGGAGTGAAAAGTGCCCAGCTCCATCATATTCTCTTTAAATCTGATGAGGTTTTAACTACTACCATTACTCTGAACTGCTCTTGATGAAGGTCCTCAATGATCTCTGTATTGCTAAACCCAAAGGCCCTTCTCAGTCTTCACCTTACTCAACATTGACCCAGTCAATCCCTTCTTCCTCCGCTGGCAAATGTTTTCTTTGCTTGATTTCCAGGACACCACATTCATCTAGTTTTCCTCCTATCTCACTGATAGCTGCTTCTCAGTTTTCTTTGCTAGTTTGCCCTCACCTCCCTGATTTCTAGACATGGGAGAGCCTTAGGACACAGTTTTTAGACGTCTTCTCTTTTCTTTCTTTACCTACTATCTAGGTAGTCTTAAATCGTCTCAGCATTAGATACCATTTATATGTGAATGATTTTGTAATTTCTAGCCTTAGCCAGGACCTCCCTCTTGACCTTGAACTTGAATAGTCAACTACCTACTTGACGTTCTTACTTGAGTATCTAATAGACAGCTCAAACTAAATATATTCAAAACTGAACTCCTAATTTTTTTCTCCAAACTTGCTTCTCCTGAAGTTGTCTCCATTTCTATTATCAACAACCCTACCCTTCTATTGTTAAAAAATATCTTGGAGTCATCCTGTACCATTCTGTTTCTCTCACAGCCCATGTCTAATCTGTCAACAAAAACTGCTGGCTCAATCTTACAGCATATTTAAAAATCTGACCATTTTTTCACTTCCCCTGTGACCAACCCTAGTCCAACCAACCCATCATCATCTCATTTGGACTATTTCAAAGCTTTCTCAGTGGTTTGCCTACTTCTGCCTCTGTCCTCCTCTTTACATTTGCAGCACATTTGCCAGAGTAATACTTTAATAATCTAAGTCAAATCTAAGTCTATGTCATTTCTTTGCTCAACAATTTCCAGTGGCTTCTATCTTATTCAAAGTAAAAGCTGGAGACTTTTGAGTAGTCTAGAGTGTTCTATACATTTTGGTTTCTTGATATTTTTTTCACTAAATTTCCTACAACTCTCCCCCTTATGCACTCTCTCCTAGTCACAGTGGCCCTCTTGCTGATCCTAGAACATGCTAGGAATGTTCCCAGGCTCAGGGCTTTTGCATTTGTTCTATCTGCCTAGAAAGCTCTTTCTCTAGATTTCTTGTGGCTTGCTCCCTGATATCCTTCTGATATCACTTAAATATCACATTCTCACAGATGCCTTATCTGATTATTCTATTTAATTGCACCTTCCACTCTACTTTCTATCATATCCCCCTTCCTTGCTGTTTTGTTTTTCTCTATAGCACTTCTTATCTCCTAGTGATGAAGTATTTTGAAGCACAAAGACCATTCTGACACTCCACAACTCACACCACTTAGCTATTTCTCCTACAAGGAAGGCAGATCCTGAATTAGATTTCATACTGCTTTTGTATGTCTTATAATGTCTTTGTACCTTTAAAATCTATAGCACCGCATTTTTATACTCTCAAACACAGGAAAGAATCAAGCTTAGTGTTATTATAGCCAGCTACAATTGTAAATATTATTTTAGTTCTTATATTCGTTTAGGGCAGGGGATATCTACAGAAGTTAAGTATTTTATTAATATAAGTAAAATGAATATTTTCATTGCACTTGTAGAATGGAAGATGTTTTGGACAAGAATACGTATGTATGTGTGTGTGATGTATATACACACAAAATTAAAATGACTACTATTCACTCTATAGAATTATATAACATAGCTTTTTCAAATCACCATTTTTCAAATCACACATTTTTTCAAATGTGTCATTGTGTTAAGACTAGAGTTTTCAGCAAAAATATGACATAATATTGATTGCACAGCTGACCATAGACCAAACAGAAATTTAAAAAAAAAATGACATACTATAGCATACAGGGTTTCCCCTATTTAACTGATGACTGCTCCTCTTGGTTTAAAACCTTTCCTTGATGATTCTAATTTAATTCATTTTTGCACCTCTGGTTAATGAATTTGGGGCATCTGTGTGGGGATAAGAAACTTCCAAGAATGACAAACCATTCATCTTCATGGTCATTAATTCTATACCATTCTAGAATTTAAATGCCATTTTGTATAAAAACCATACTGTTAGGGAGTGTGGTGAAGGGGATTCCATGATATCTTTCTTTATGTTGTTAACTTTGGTGGTTTTTGAATTACCAGGTCTGACAGGTGCTGCTGTCTGTCAACCCAAAGGTCAGTCCTGCCTATTTTAATTTTCAACATGAATATGCTGTATCATTTTGATAAAACCCTGGCAGAGGCCATTTTAACGTTATCAAGAATAAAATACTCTTAGTATAGCTAGGGGTGGGGCGACATCAGAAGCATGTCTTCCTCTACGAGTACTTTATTTTTGATGACATTAAAATGGCTTCTACCAGGGTTTTATCAAAATGATTACCATTTGGAATGAAGGCATTGGCAAATCTCAAACACATTTAAATGATAAAATGAAATTAGACATCAGAGTTTGAGGAAACCAAGAACTTACCATCTGATACTTTGTGTTCACAGTTAAGCAAATCTTTGCAGATTCGTGCTGGGTTATCTCGTGTGCCAAGAGGATTCTTGATGCTGTGCAATAAATTGCTAAGGTAGTTCAGGGTTTTGAATATCTCTGCACTGTGGTTGATTAAAGTCACTTCAGTATTCTGGTAGCTCTGCCAAGTCATCGTAAGAATCATATAAGCAAAAAAACTCTCAGGACCAACATAGAGCAAGGCAGAAGAAAGATGTGTTCCTATTGTGTGTAGTGAGTTGGGGGCAGGATGTAAAGAACAATTTATATTTAAGCATAGACATATGTGCAGGCTTTATTAACCTTGTCCTAAATAAGATTAAATTCACACTTGAAAGTTTGGTTTTCAAGCTGAAATAAGAATTACTATGCCTACTATATAACATTTTTTAAGAACACACATTGAATACTTAGAGTTTAAATAAGATAAATGAGTAGTGATGATAAATATATCCCATTTTAAGAATCATGTCTAATTTCATTTAACTGTTTTCTTCGGTAGTACCAAATTCCTTACAAATAAATCCTTTAATATTACATTTTTGTTTAAATATGTTCCTTACAAAACATTCTATGCATGTATTTCTATTTAATTATACTAAAATCACTTGCTTTGTCCTTGAAAATGGTTTCATATTTTCAATCTGTTTTAAATACAATCTTTGGGATAACTCCACATTTTGGCCTCCAAAAAAATTAATTTCTGTTTAATTTGTATATTGTCAGTGCCAATATAAATAAAACCAGATATATTACCTCCATCTGTAGGGCAGTATTTGATTCAATCAAGGCCTGAATAGCAGCATTGATATCCATTTGTTTCTGTGTAAAACAAAACCATTTGAGATCAGCAGTAATATCAACACTGAGAGCTCTGAAGTAAAGGCTGTAAATTCTGAAAGCACTGCTATTAAAGTATACTAGGCTTATTATCTGAAGGGTGTTTGTAACTCTTATAGTTAGACAGATTTTTCAAATATTGCCTAGTTATCTGAAAGGACAATATGCTGCCTTCATCCAAATCTCAAAGGTCTCCTAATTAAAATAGGACCGAAGTCTAGAGCTCTCAAATGAAAAACCATTTGTCTCTGCTGCATGAAAACACACACAGAGTTACTCAAATGAAAGAGAATGAAATATGATTCCCCTCAGTTAATAAATTGTAAAGTGAAGAATAAATAACTGTAGTAATTTTTAACAGTTACATTCTTGGAAGGAAAATAGAATAAAATACTACTGTCCTGAGGTAGTCACCACATTAGTTTAATGTGATACTTCTGTGGTCTTAAAAATAATTTCTCAAGTTGGAAAATGTTCCATTAGTCCCAAAAGAAATAATACAGCATGAATTCAATCTCCTCCTGCATTTAATAAAAGATATATTTAGAGAAAGACTCAGCATAACCATTAGTAAAAGTCTTTTTTATAATTTTTTTTTAAGAAAACAAGCTTGGAAACTAAGAAGCATGAGTTGGGAGAAGCTTCTGGGAAAGAGCCTCTGTGTAAGTAAGTGAACCAAGTGATCTCATTTCTTTCAGAGTGATTGTCCTGCTAAGGTATCTTTTTACTTGGAGGTCCGTATAATAAAAACTGTTTTCAACAGATCTCTCATAACTCATGGCTGGTAATTCGAAAAACTATTTAAAATGATGGAACAATCGATAAAATGCCGTCTTCCCTACCTCAACATGTGGTTTTCATATTGGAAAATAATTGACTCATTCTGCATATATATACTGCCAAACACTGTGATACGTATTGAGGATAAAATGGTAAGCAAAAGAGAAAATTGCCCTTACAGAGCTTCAGTTTAAAAGGGAGAGAGGGATTAATCAAATCACCTCAGAAACACATAATTACAGATTGTGATATATGCTATGAAAGAAAAGTACGTGAGTCTATGACAGAAATTAGAGTCACTCAAATCTGGAAAATTTAAAAAAGGATGGTTCAGGGAAGGCTTCCCTGAGGTAGTGACATGTGAGCTAACATCAGAAGAATAAATAAAAATTGTTAGAAGAAGGGGTAGGAGAGCTTTCCAGGCAAAAGTAACAATCTTACACAAAGGCTATGAGACAGAAGGAGCATGGGATATTTAAGAAACAGAAAAGATTAGCCTAAAATGTTTTCTGCAGATTAAGTAATTCTGATCAACTTGCTTGTGTGAATGGGCAGGTTTTGGATATGGGTCACACAAAAATCTTGGCACTAAATATGGGAAACTGAATTAAGTGCCAAACAATAGCCACCTTTATATTTTCCACTTGGTCCCCTGTTGGTGATTAAGGGCTTTAATCAGAAAACCTAGCAAAGCCGTTCTCAAACTCTTCAGAATCAGGATCCTTTTGCACTTTTAAATATTATTAAGGTCCTTTAAAAACTTTTGTTTATGTGAGTTATAACTTTTGATATTTACCATTGTAGAAATCAAAACATAAATTTTAAAACTATTTATGTGTTACCTGCTTTAAATAACAACAAACTCATTACATGTTAATTAATTAAAACATTTTTATAAAAATTGTATTTTCAAAAACAAAAAAAAGTGGGAAGGGTGACTCTGTTTTACACGTTTGTACTTCTCTTTAATGCCTGGATTAATAGATGATGGCTAAATTCTCATATTTGCTTTTGTACTCAATTGGTCATGCTATGTTATTTTAGTTGAAATATATGAAGAAAACCTGGGATCATAGAGACATGCAGTTGGAAAAAGAGGAGTACGTTAGTAGCTTTCTTCAGATAATTATGGATTTTCTTCAACAACTTGACAAGTAGTAGTTTCCTAAAGGTTAGTTGCAATATGAAAACTGAACCCATACCAATGAACTTTTTGTACTCTTTTACGTTAAGATCAATGGTCTATCTTACACTTTGACAGAATCTTTTTCCTATGCATGATTTTGTTAACATCATGCATTGATCATTCAGAGAATATGGATTCATGGAATTACAGAGATCTTTCAAATACTGACACATGTCATTACTTAAAGTAAAAAATGACATTTGTTAACATAATTGCTTATGAGAGAAACGTAAGTACTAGAAAGCTGTCAAATTCATAGTGATAGATACAAGTTTTCCCCAATTTGTATTTTTACTTGAATGCTTAAAATTTATCATTAGCATCAAATTCTGTCAGTTATTTTCCTTGAAATGACAGGCTTACTTCATTCATCTTCAAGAAAACTTCTGTCAAATACTCATTTCTTAATAACACTGGTAGTCACATGTACTCACCATTAAATTGGAACGAATTGATCTACACTTATGTGCATATATGGAAATATTAATAACATTCATCAGAAATCAAGCAGGTGGGAGAGGGAAGGAGGAGATGGGTAAATTCACACCTAATGGGTGCAATGCACTCTATCTGGGGGAAGTGCACACTTGTGGCTTTAACTCAAATGGTACAAGGGAAATTTATGTAACCAAAACGTTTGAACCCCCATAATATTTTGAAATTAAAAAAAAATAACACTGGTAGTCTGTCAAGTAAAAATGGCATTCCATGATAAAAGCAGTTAGTTGACTTTGCAACTCAAACAGTTGTACAGTGCTTTTATTTGAGGCAACTACTAAACTTCAGTGTGCAGCATAAATGCTTTATATGTTCTTCCATTTCATCACACAAAATATTAAAAAGATGTGTACTCAAGATGAGAGATTTAGGAGACAGCAAAAATGGTGGAGTAAGGACCTCTCAGAATTCTTTCTTCTATAAAAGCAATGAGAAAATTGGCAAAAATTAGCACCAAGTTTTCAGAATTATAGAGATTAACAAAATGCTGGAAGAATTCTGAGGAGCATTTATTTTTCAAAAGAGAGGTGACCCTCAGTAAGAGCAGTGAGCTTTATGGAATTTTAACTTGCCCTGTTCCCATGCTCATCTTTCCAGCTCTGTAGTAGTCTTGAAAATTGTTACAGTTTATGGGTGGCCGTTTTTTTGGACCAGCCTCCTCCACTAGGCCCCAGAAGACCAGACCAAACCAGAATGGAGTTACTTGTGCTAAGTACCATGTATAATCAAACTGAACTTTGAAATGGGCCAGTTTTTCAAAGATCAGGAGATTCCAGTCAACCTGAGTCAGGTAATGAGGAAGTCCCCTCTCTGTTTTAAACCTATAAGGAGAGTAATTTTGAAATGACCAATCTTCTTTTGGTTTTTCATTTCTGCTTTCTTTAGCCCTTTTCTGCCTATAAAGCCAACCTCCTTTGCTCAGCCATTGGAACACTCATTCTATTTTATAGAATGAAGTGTTATCTGATTCTAGAATCTCAAATAAAAGCCAATTAGACCTTTAAACTAAATTTGTTGTAATTTGTCTTTTGACAAAACTAACAGCCTGCAACCACAATGAAAACCACCAGCCCGAAGCCATGGGAAGAAACAGAATGGGGCTGGCATTGCTTCAAAGACTCATTTCTGGGGTATTGTCATTATTTGACCTGTCTGGTGGCTTCCTGGAAGTCACCACTTGCAAGTCTGTCTTTATGTTCCCTGACTCAGATCATCCAATGCAAAAAGCCTTTTCCCCGGGAGCTTTTTCCAAAAACATTTAGAGACAATTGTTTGACTCTGTGGCTGCCAGAAGCAGTAGAAAACAATTGGAGCAAACAATAGGCTAACCAAAAAGCTTACAAGAAAAAGTGGGGAATGAGATGTCCGTAGAGATTTTGAAAAGCTCAGACATCTTTCTGGGAATCTAGAAATCCATGCAAATGCATAGGGCTGTACATATACTCAGGAAAGACCAGGAAGGCCCTAAGCCCTCCCCTCTAATTGACTTTGAGGCTCTGTGACAGCAGAAGTGAAGGCTAAGGCATAGTTGTAGTTGTCAATTGCCTGGCTTAGCATTGAAGAGGTGCCCCAGAGTGCACACAGAACCCCTTCGCAAAAACTGGGAGACTTACCGGTTAAGAAAATCTCTTAAGAAAATTATTAATAGCTGCCCACTAAGCTAACGGAGCAGAGACGCCATTGCTCACACATGTCAATGAATATAGATTTTATAAAATTCAGAAAAGTCACTAAACAAACAAACAATAACAATAAAGAGCAATACCACCAAATTTAGGTTGGGGGAAAAAATCTGATTTCCAGAGATGCCACATAGTATTATTTAAAATGTCCATTTTTCAACAAAAATATTACAAGACATGCAAAAAAAATGAAAGTATGACCCATATACAGGGGAAAAAAGCCATCAATAGAAACTGTCCCTGAGGAAGTCCAGATGTTAGACTTAATAGACCAGGACTTTAAGTTAGCTATTTTAGGTCTATTCAAAAAATTAAAGGACACCATGTCCACAGAACTAAAGGAAAGTATGACAAACATGTCTTACCAAATAGAGAATGTAATAAAGGGACAGAAATTATAGAAAAGAACCAAATAGAAATTCTGAAGCTGAAAAGTACAATAACTAAAATGAAAATTTACCAAATAGGCTCAACAGTAAATTTCAATAGGCTGAAGAAAGCATCAGTTAACATGAAGATAAATTTGTTGATATTATCCAGTCTGAGGAGTAGCAAGAAACCAATAATGAAGAAAAATGAACAGGGATTTAGAGACCCATCAGACATTATCAAGCATACCAACATATGCATAATCAGAGTTTCAGAAGGGAAGGGGAGAGAAAAAGGGACAAAAAGAATATTCAAAGAAATAATGGCTTAAAACATTCCAAATGTGATGAAAAATACTAATCTACACATCTAAGAAGCTCCACAAACTTCCCTAGGCACACGATAATCAAACTGTTGAATGCTTTAGACAAATAAAGAACCTTGAAAGCAGAAAGACAGGAGACTCATCATGTCCAAGAGATCCTCAAGGAGATTAACAGCTAATTTCTCACAAAAACCATAAGGGTGAGGGAGTAATGGAATAACATATTCAGAGTGCTAAAAGAAAAGACTATCAACTAAGAATTTTATATCCAGTAAAGCTCTCCTTTAAAAATGAAGGAAAAATTAAAACATTCCCAGATAAATAAAAGCCAAAACCAGCCTGGGCAATATAGTGAGACTCCATCTCTAAAAAAAAGTAAAAAAAAATTAGGCAGGCATGGTGGCATGTGCCTGTAGTCCTAGCTACTGGGGAGGCTGAGGCGAGAGCTGCCTTGAGCCCAGGAGTTTGAAGTTACAATGAACTATGATGACACCACTGCACTGTAGCCTGGGTGACAGAGTGAGACCTTGTCTCAAAACAAAACAAAACAAACAAGCAACCCAATTCAGAAAATGGGCAAAGGACTTGAATAGATATTTGCCCAAAGAAGATACATAAATGTCCAATAAACACATGAAAATATGCTCAAGATCACAAATCATTAGGGAAATGCAAATCAAAACCACCATGAAATACCACTCCACAACCATTAGGACAGCTGCTATTAAAAACAAAACAAAACAAAACAAAACAGAAAATAACAAGTGTTGTTACAGTGGAATCTTCTAGTTTGGAGGATTTCCACTGAAATTTCCTGAGAAATGTGACCTATTTTGTATTCATGCATGCATGCTTGCTTTCATCCAACAAACACTTAGTTAGAAAATAAATTAAAAAAACAGTCTCGGCCGGGCACGGTGGCTCACGCCTGTAATCCTAGCACTCTGGGAGGCCGAGACGTGTGGATTGTTTGAGCTCAGGAGTTCGTGACCAGCCTGAGCAAGAGCGAGACCCCATCTCTACTAAGGATAGAAAGAAATTAGCTGGACAACTAAAAATATATAGAAAAAATTAGCCGGGTGTGGTGGTGCATGCCTGTAGTCCGGCTGCTCGGGAGGCTGTGGCAGGAGGATCACTTGAGCCCAGGAGTTTGAGGTTGCTGTGAGCTAGGCTGATGCCACGGCACTCTAACCTGGGCAACAGAGTGAGACTCTGTCTCAAAAAAAAAAAAAAAACAAAACAATCTCTAACTTCAGAGAGTTCGCAATCTAATTGGGGAGACAAACATGAAAATAAGTAAGTAAGTATAAATGAAGAAGAGGAAGTGATCTATCTTGGGAGACTTACCGGTTAAGAAAATCTCTTAAGAAAATTACTAATAGCTGCCCACTAAGCTAACTGAGCAGAGACACCATTGCTCACACATGTCAATGAATATAGATTTTATAAAATTCAGAAAAGTCACTAAACAAACAAACAATAACAATAAAGAGCAATAACACCAAATTTAGGTTGGGGGAAAAAATCTAATTTCCAGAGATGCCACATAGTATTATTTAAAATCTTGCAGTGTGATGAGGGGATAGAATTAAGAAGAGTTTCATGGAAGGTACGATGATAAGCTGACTGAAAGAACAAGCAGGTGTTTTCTCATTGTCATTTAGACTTCTGCTCTAGAAGTCTTATTCTCAGTGTTACCACTGCCACTTTCCTACAATAGACTCTGTAAATTCCAGAAAAACAGTATTATATATGTAAACATGTTTTCATATTGACCAAGAAGGAAGATAGAAAGAAGAGAAAGGGAGAAAAGAAGGAAACTAATATTTATTGAGTACCTATAATGTGTCAAGCACATACATTTTTTTAATCTTCCTAATACTTCCTCCATGTATATATGTATTTTTATCCACATTTTGCTCATATCAAAAATCTGTCACACGTCCTACTTCATTTTGGCTGTATAGGAACATATACATTTTCCAAGTGAGACAGGAATTTAAATGACATTTAAATTAGTGAAAATTTCCACTAAACACCTCTCTAATTTTCCAGCAATGTATGGTTCTTTAGAACTTGTTCTTTCTTGGGAAGGCAGCTATGATATATCAAAGTCATTATAAGCTGGGAAGGCAACTGATGAGAGTAGTTTTAACCCATGCATTGTGGGGACTCAGGGGGACAAGAAGAACAGAGAAGTAGACAGTGATTTGAAGATTTGAAGAAAGACATTCCATTCCCATTGATGTTCACGCAGGAATGCTTCAATCTCCATCAGTCAGACGGCCAGAAATGGGAATTATTTAAAGAAATCATAGAGAATTGGGTCTCCTGTTCTCAAGGGGACAGTTTTCCCATTGCACTTTGCTTGAACGTTATTCCTTGCCCCAGAGAAAAACTGAGAGAAGTGAAGAGTTCCTGATGTGTTGAGAGTGGACCACAGTGAACCACCCCTAGAGCTATCGGAGATCTAAATGACACCAGAGCAGCATGTGAAAATAAGTAAGGCTTAGAAGGCCTAGGACTGAACACTGTTTGGGACAGTGTAGCAATAGTGGCTCTTCTTTAGGCAGGAAATGTGACCAGGGACCACTGTATTTGACTAGGAGACTGGAGGATGGGGTGTGAGTAAGGTTAGCGTGGAGCGAGACCTCTTTCGGGAGCAGGAAGACAAGGATTGCTGAAAATAAGACTGGATGCCAAGCATAAGGAAAACCAAAAGAATAGCAGAAACAAGTGTTGCCTCAAAGACAAGGGTAGCAAGCTTTAGTCTGTAGTAGATAACAAGCAAATGCATGAGAAATCTGAAGGCTTCTGTAGCCACTAGCAACTCAGAAGGAATAATGTAAAACCTAAGAAGTGGATAACTCTGGCTGGCAAAAAAAGAACATTTAAAAAGGGAGAGTGAGGACCTAGAAGTAGGAAGAAAATGGAGAGAATGAGCATTTTTTGAGCACATATCATGTGTCATACACTGTGCTGAATGCTTTGCTTCTTACGTGATACTTAAAACCACCCAAGAAAGTAGGAGATACCATCTCCACTTTATAGATAAGAAGTCTGAGGCTTGGACTTAACAAGTTAATGTAGTTGGGCCAGCCCCATATCAGGTTAGGAAAAAGAAGAGAGGTATGCAAGAGGGATACCTTTTAACAGTGAGTAAATAGAAGAAGCTTTAAAAAGTTAATATGACATATTAAGATAAAACCAAACCAAGAAAACTTACTCTTGGGCCTGGCGCTCCCGGTGGACCCTAGAACATAACAAATTTTAAAAATTATTTATTCAGTAGACATCCCAAATGAGCCAAGCATATAAGCATCAATGGTAAACAGATATAAATGTAAATAAACTCACCGGAGGCCCTGGTTGACCTCTTGGTCCTTGAGGACCCTGGAAGAAAGGAGACAGACACAATACGCATACATTATGCTTTTGGTTGAGAAGAGAACTAGTATGCAGCTACTGTCATTGCTTTTTTGCCTCAGGTAAGTCACACAATTTAAAATTTGTTTTAGTATTTTGAAATTATATGCTCTTGTACTTAGCTATCTATCACCCATGTTCATGAACAAGCTGGATATTTTCTTTCCTGTTTTATTGTTATTACTAGAAACTGGATTACTTAATAAACTATTATAAATGTAACATTTAAAAATATTGATATGGTCTAAGCATGTTTTTCCTGTTATTTCTACCTACCACCCACCTAATCATCAAACATACAAACTTCAGTGCTCTTAGACACTTCGTTTTCCTTCATCTACCTATAAAATTGTTACCAACTGCTGTTGATTTCACCTCCAAATTTCTTCATCCTCACAGCAACTGCCTTAGTTCAGTGTTAACCATGTACTATGGACTGAATGCTTGTGTTCCCCCTAAATTCATATGTTGAAACCCTAATCCCCAATGTGATGGTGTTTGGAAGTGGGACCTTTGAGAGGTAATTAGGGCATGAGCCTGGAGCCCTCATGAAAGGGATTAGTGCCCTTATGAGAAGAGACACAAGAGATGATCTCTCTGTCTCCACCACGTGAGGATACAATAATAAGGCAACCTTCTGCAAACTAGAAAAAGGGCTCTCACCAGGTACCAAATCTGCTGGCACCTTGATCTTGGACCTTCCAGCTTCCATAACTGTGAGAAATAAATGTTGTTTAAGCCACCCAGTCTGTGGTAATTTGTTACAGCAGCCTGTGCTGTGACATAATGTTTTTACCTGTACTCCTAATTTGACTTCCTGACTTTATCCTCTCCACTAAGTTAACTACATTCTACTTATAAAATGGAAATCTAATCATGTCATTATTTAGTTAAAATACTTTAGTGGCTCTTTATTGTTTAGAGAATAAAGTATAAACATCTTAATAGTGATAGCTAACATTTATTGAGATCCTAGCATATACCAAGTTGTGTGCTATATTTCCATTTTACAGTTAAGAAAACGGAATGGTTACATAAACTAGCAAATAAGGGGCAGAGGTAGGATTAAAATACAAGTCAACTGAATACAAAAGAATATGCTTGTAGTCAGTGTGCACAGCGGCCTCTTCTTCAAGGTCTGGGCCTCACCTCCACTTAGTTCCCCCGACACATCCTACCCACCATCTATAACCAACTACTTGTAGATCTCTCAGTTGTCCAAGTTCTTTCACACAGGCATCGTCTTGCATGTGCTATGTACTTGACCAGGAATGTTCCTCCCTATCTTTTCTACTTGTTGAAGGCCATTCCTCTTCCAACACTTCTTTAAAACTCTACACCCACCTTTCTTAACACCTGTGCCACTTCTCCCCTGCTCAACTAACCACTTCTCTTTCTGTATTCCAGAACATACCAGAAAGGCTCTAAGAAACCTTAAAGTGCCTTAGTTACCTTTTCATTTTCTGAAACAAGAATAGTGCTTAAACACAGTAGATATACGATAATTTTTATTGAATAATTAAATGAATGAATGCTGTTAAAATTAGTAAGTATTAATTTAGAAATTAGAAAAGTTAAAATGTGTATAGTAAATGTCAAAAGTTATGTTGACATTTTTTGAAAATGAAACAACAGTAATAACAGCTAAGAATACTTGAAGGCCTTGTACATCTGCTAAAAATTAACTTCTTTGATGGTCAATTGAATATTAAGACTATATTGAATCAAACTCAGAGCATAGTTAAAAGATGGCAAAGAAAAATTTATCTTCAAATGAGTATTGAATAATGTTGATACTATGCTTGACTTAGTATTATGTATCTTTTATTGCCAAAGCTGTTGATTGTAAGTATACTGTGATAGAACAAACAACACATAGTAACTTAAAAAGTATAGAGTACTCTAACACTATGCCTGATGGACATTTCTTAGTTTGCACGGTTTATAATTTTTTTTTTTTTTTTTTTTTGAGACAGAGTCTCACTGTGTTGCCCAGGCTAGAGTGCCGTGGTGTCAGCCTAGCTTACAGCAACCTCAAACTCCTGGGCTCAAGCGATTCTCCTCCTGCCTCAGCCTCCCAAGTAGATGGGACTACAGGCATGTGCCACCATGCCCGGCTAATTTTTTCTGTATATTTTTAGTTGTCCAATTAATTTCTTTCTATTTTTAGTAGAGACGGCGTCTCGCTCTTGCTCAGGCTGATTTTGAACTCCTGAGCTCAAACAATCCGCCCACCTCGGCCTCCCAGAGTGCTAGGATTACAGGCGTGAGCCACCGCGCCCGGCCTATGATTACAATTTTAAGCAGAGAATGTACAAAAATTGTACCTCAGAAACTAAGTAAGTTTCAGAAATGTCATGTTGAGATAGCGTTTTAAATAAACAGAGGTTCAAAGTGAATTTGGCTATGTAAGTTGCTCCATTTGGGATCAACATTGTAAAAATAATAAACAGTGTGATATTTACCCCACTTAGCATATTTATGATATTTGCAAAATCTCACCAATGGTTCAGTACAAAATATTTGTCCTATCTTTGACTTTGAAAGAGGAATTTATCATAGAAGAATGAAGAAACTATTTCTACTGCTGGTTTTAAGTTCATTTCTGCTTGTTATCCAGAACAAGTTAGATCACCACAAATGTGATCAAATAAAATACTTCAAACCCAGCAAGACAGGGCAGGGCAACCCCAAGGTAACAACTGCATACAATATGACAAGTAGCTAAGTAAAACAAAGGATGATTCCAACAATATAATATTTTATTAGTTCTTTTTTATTACGCTAGTTCATGCACCATTAAGGAGAAGTGATTCACTCTTACACTATATAAAGAAGTTTATAACAAAACTATAATTGCTTATGTTATTTTTCTAAAGGGGAACCAAATTAATGCAAATGGTTATAGTGGTTATTTGACTATCATGAAAGCACTGCCATTGAAAATAGATTTTCTCTACTTAACTGCAGAATTTGCATATGATCTTCTAAAAGTAACATATTTTGTCATCAGAATTTGAAAATACTGATGACTGCAGGTCCTTGAAGCTAGGTATGTTATTCTTTTCCTTTTAGAACGTTCCTTCGTTTTGCTTCTTTATGTAATTTCCTTCAGGTAAGTGTAATCTCTATTTACCTTCATGGTCTTTACTTTAGGCTGGCTGAGCTGTAGAGAGCTTCCCTTTTCTTATTTATAAATTGAAGAGCTTCCATTGTAGGATGTTTAGCAGCATGCCTACTCAATAGATGCCACTAATATCTCTCCCTTTTTCCCCACTCGTGACAACCAAAACTGTCTCCAGACATTGCCAAATGTCTCTTGGGGTGGGTGGGGGCAAAAGGCTCCTAGTCAAGAATCATTGGTTTAAAAGATTTAATTGAGAGTTTAGTAATATTAAATAAGATTTATTAGATAGTAATGCAATTGGGATAGAATCAGTGAGCATCACAAGACACAAGGCATAAGTGCCAACAGGAATCTGCCCTCAAGCTGTCATGTGGGTGGCTGGGCTACTCTTGATACAGGTGGAGATCTTCCTCACCCAAATTGCTCCTGACCCTTTTTTTCTGAGAGGCACTATGATTTATAGAAAAACACAATTGCATGGGAATTGGGAGACCTGGGCTCTTGTCTTGTCTTTGTAACTAATTTGTTATATATCTTTGAGTGAGATGCTGAAATTTGGATCTCAGATATCTCAACTGTAATATAACAGGTCTGGTGAAGATAATCTCCAAGGTTCACTTTAGAATTGTGATTTTCAAGCCTTCTACAAATTTTTTCCCTCATGTTTTGTATCTAGTGAAAGAAGGCATACAACATGCATACAGGCTGGAGATTTCAAATCTGAAGTATATATGAATGTAAGGGGAATGTGTAATTGAATTTTAAAAGTTTGATAATTTTTTATTTGAATGAATTATACTATCTATAAATTTTAAAAAGAAATATATACATATATGCTTTACATTCTTAATATGTTAATATTTAGGACATATTTCTCCTTACATAATTTCTCCTTATAATGCTTAAACCATCCTCTTCATTTTCAAATTGGAGGCAAATAAGATAATTCTGCTATTCAAGAATTGTGAAGATATATTAACTTAGAGGAAATATTTGAGAAAACATCAAGGTGATTCTTCAATTTTTACTGATTTTCATTAAATAATATGCTGTAAAAATGAAGTAGCTAATCTAAAACTTCATTCTGATTTTGGTCTCTGTTTTTTTTTTTTTAATTTCAGAACATTATGGGGGTACAAACATTTTGGTTACATATAATGCCTTTGCCTCGCCCAAGCCAGGGCTATAAGCTTGTCCTTCTCCCATACAGTGTGCACCACATCCACTAGTTATGAGTTTACCCACTCCCACCACCCCCTCCCACCTGACCGGCACCCAATGACTATTACTTCCATGTGAGTACCTTAGTGTTGCTCAGTTAGTACCAATTTCATGGCAAGTACATGTGGTGCTTGTTTTTCCATTCTTGTGATACCTCACTTTGAAGGATGGGCTCCAGCTGTATCCAGAATAATATAAGAGGTGCTAGTTCACCATTGTTTTTTGTAGTTGAGTAGTATTCCATGTATACATATACCACATTTTATTAATCCACTCATGTATTGATGGGCACTTGGGTTGTTTCTACATCTTTGCAATTGCAAATTGTGCTGCCATAAACATTCAAGTGCAGATGTCTTTATTATGGAATGTCTTTTGTTCCTTTGGATAGATGCCTAGTAGTGTGAATGCTGGATTAAACAGTATTTCTAGTTTTAGCTCTTTTAGATATCTCCAATTTGCTTTCCACAGGGGTAATACTATTTTGCAGTCCCACCAGCAGTGTAAGAGTGTTCCTGTCTCTCTACATCCACACCAGCATTTGTCGTTTAGGGACTTTTTGATAAAGGCCATTCTCACTGGAGTTAGGTGATATCTCATTGTAGTTTTGATTTGCAGT